GTATCACACAGCATTTAATTAAGGCTACCATCAACAGGACTTCTAATAACAGGAGTCCTGCAATATTGACTTCAAACCCACCTTCCTCCCTGCCCAGGTTCCTGGATTAAACTAGCTTAAATGCCATAAGCCATCAGAATCTACCTTTGAAAGCAAGTGGCTTTCACCTTACGTTTCTGTGTTGACCTTTCCACTTGGCCCAAGGCATTAATCTAGATTTAGCAGGATGTATTAGTGGTTGTACAGATTCTGTCTTGGTCTATAAGGAGAAAGTCTATTATCTATAACAACAGTGGCTAGTGAGTTGAGACTGGATGCCTTTGAAGACCAAAGTGGTGTCATTGATGATATCATTTAAAGTAAGGTGTAAATCTTGCATCATCTTTTCTAATTAGATGACTCTTATTGTAGAAAAAACTGCCAGATGGATGAACATAAGTAATAAGTTACCCTCTGGGAAGCCTCTCCAAGTAACCAAGGGTAGTCTCATTTTTTAAAGAGATCTCCTCAGTTGTCTGAGAGTTACGTGATCCACTAGTAGTGTTTATTCGAACATTAGCCGGTCTCTTATGATCACTCCTAAGATGTAACTTACTATGTTTTTGGGAGGGAAGCAAGTTAATGTCTGGCTTCCACTCAAGAAGTACAGTCTTGGGGAGATACACATGGTTCTCGTAGAAAGACCAGGGTCATTGACAATTGTTGGGGCTCTTAGTGGAACCTATATCAGTGGGCGGTGGGGAAGGCGTACAAATGACAGTACTTCCAATATGGACTCCTGGCTGGTTGGTAAGTCTGAGGGTTCCCAGTTAAGTTAAAATAATTGAAGCTAGTCCTTGTTTTTGGAAATACTCTCTGAAGGTAGCCAGTCCATTCTGTCCTGTTTGTCCACGCCACTAGCTGAGTGGCGTTTGTTCACCCCAAGAGGTGACTGAGAGTGGGAGTGAAAAAAACATTCATGATTGTCGACAGGTATTTCGTGTGGGAGGCTTTGGAGCTGGGGTTGTCCTTTGATGTTTCCAATAGACTTTTTAGTAAGGTTAAGGAGAATGACTTCCAAACTGTGGTTAGAGCTATCTGACAGAGGATGGCAGAACTATAGTCAGTAAAATTTAAGGTGCTTGCAACAGTTTGGGAGAGTGGCATCAAGATGTTTTCCATGGGAAGACAGGCTCCAAGGGCACTTCTGAAAGTCAAAGGATCACTAATGTCCCTCCCTCCTCCAAATATCCTAGGGTCTAAGGTGTTCCCTCCTCAGGTGCCAGTGTTTTTGCTTTCCTTTTACTTCTACAGAATCAGCGTGTCCATTCCAATAGCTACAAGCTCACCTTTCTTCCAATCATCCCCTATTCTCACCAAGCCCTTTTGTCCAGAGGGCCAGATGCCAGAGGGACAGCACATTTTAATAAAGTTTACAGAGATCACTTATGTCCCCCTCCTTGAGCCAGTACAGGCTACTGTGGGAGGACTCAGTGAATAGGGTACTCAACCCTTAAGCGTTCATTACCCTTATGATCTAGGACCATGTCAATCCAACAAGAGATTGTAGGTGGTCAGGCTGCCACCTGGAGGGTGTGCCAACACAGCTGGCCTAGTTCTGTGCCACTAAGAGAAAGAATGAAACATCATGCCCAAGATTGGTCAGGGCAGAGTCTCAAATTTTCAAAAAACTTTGGTATAATCCTCGCCCCTTTCATCCAGAACATACCCAGGAAGTGGCTGAGAAGAAATGATTGCTTTCTGGGGAGAGCTGCATTTAGTGACCAAACTGTCTCACTAAGTTGTGTGGACTCACAGGAGGTGAAGGAGATAGGGTCAGAAATTTTTTTTAATTGAACTTTTTATTCTTTAATTATAGATGCACATGCAGTTGTACGAAATAATACAGAGAAATCCTGTGCACTCACTACCCAGTTTCCATCAATGGTAACATTCTGCTGAATCATAGTACAATATCCCAGCAGAATCCCACAGATACAGTCAAACTACAAAACATTTTCATTGCCATAAGGATTCCTCAAGTTGCCCTTTTATAGCCACATCCACTCGCCTTCCACCTCATCCTCTCCTTAACCCCTGGGAACCACTAATCTGTTCTCCATTTGTATAATTTTATCATTTCAGGGATATTACATAAATAGAATCACAAAGTATGTATGGAAAACATCTGGTCTTTCACATTAAACATAATGTTAGCTGTAGGTTTTTTGTAGATATTCTTTTTTTTTTTCGTAGATATTCTTTATCAAAGTGTGGAGGTTCCCCTCTATTCCTACTTTTCTCAGCATTTTTATGGTGCTAAATTTTGTCAAGTGCTTGTTCTATGTCAAGTGATATGTTGATGTGATTTTTCTTTGTTAGAGTATTAATATCATGGATTACATTGATTGATTTTTGAATATTGAACAAGCCTTGCATCCCTGGGGAAAAAAACCCACTTGGTCTTGGTATGTAATTATTTTTATGCATTGCTGAATTCTGTTTGCTAATACTTTGTTAAGGAGTTTTGCATCTTCACCTTGTTATGGCCTGGAAATTGTAGAAGCCTAGGATTCCCACTTGGGTCCTTGTTGGTGTGAGTGTGAGTGTGAGTGGGGCCAGAGTTTTTTCTGTGGTGTTTGGCTGGAGTAGAGCCCTTACTGTCTAGAAATTTTTTTTTTTTAAATCTTTCTAGGCTGCCCCTTTCTTTTTCCTTGACTAGAAAGAACAGGCTCTGTTGAGACTTCCTTTTCTTTTTTTTTTTGTCTGTCTGTGCCTATTAGCATATTTGGTTATTGGCTTCTTTAGCTTCAAGACTGGGACAATAAAACAAAGAAAACTTAGGGAACTCAGCATCATGTTATTCCTTGAGTTTCCTAGATTTCTCACTGGTCTGACTTCTTTCAACTTTTCAGAGTCTTCTTATGTTAGTTAATATATAAAGTCCAGGATTTTTAGTTGTGCCTAGCAGGAGAAATGGAAAACTTTTGTCTACTCCATCTTCCTGTAAGCAGAAAAAATCTTTTTTTTTTGGTAGATTTTCCAATAGCCAATAATACCAGATGCCTGTTCATAGTAATGTGTGTGGAAGGTTGCTCAATATCTTGACTATCAGCCCATTGTTGAATAGGTTCTGTGATAAAAAGTGCACTACTGTGATATTACAAATGAAACAGAAAGCTGAACACATAACACAGATTACTTTTCAAGAGCCACATTCAAAGGATGCTCCTTTTCGGGTTTCCTTGACTACCAGAGGGACCAGAGTGTTGTGATTCCACTCACATAGCTCTACTTTACTTAGTGAACAGGCCCCTGAATTTTTCCAGGGGCTCATGGAGTTTTGAGAACATTGCAGTTAGGTCCACGGAAACTGAGTTGTCTGAATACTCAAATGTGGCAGAGAGACTCTAACATGGCTCCCAGTGATCTCCACATCGTGGCTTTTAGGAACTGTGGGTGGCCACTGAGAGTGTGAGAGCAGACTCTAGTCTAGGAGCTAAAGGCAGCCTCTAGCTGACCTTTAGAAAGAAACTGAGGGCTCAGTCTTATAGCTGCCAAGAAATGAATTCTGCCAATGACCTGAGAAAGTGTGGATGCAGATTCTTATCCAGTAGAGACGGCAGATGAGAACACAGCCTGGCTGATACCTTGTGAGACTCTGGGCAAAAAATCCAGTTAAGCCATACCTGGACTTCTGACCTTCAGAAACTGTGCGATAATATTACATGTTGATTCAGTCACTAAATTTGTGGCAATCTGTTGCACAGCAATAGATAATGAATGCACCAACAAACATGATCCTTGTAGTGAAAGCTTTGGACATCAGAAGGTAAAGGCACTCACAATAAATTCTGACCCTCACACTGGTGGCAAATGGCAGGTGAATTTATGTGCCCATGATGGAGTACTGCACACATATGTTTGAAGACATCTGTGGCACGCTGGGATAGGCTCTGGGTCTTGATATCCTCATCTGGAAATGGAGATAGAATTCTAACATGTACTTTATAAAGTGGTTGTTAGAATTAAATACAACAGTGCAGGTAAAAGCTGTTTACTACAGGGCCTGGCACCTTCCGTGGTGTGCAGTCCAGTGAGTGTGGTTCTTGCCACTTTAATAAATTTCAATGAGGTCATGTTTCTTAAAACATCCACAAATTATAATGCCAATTGATTTGCAGATCTCTTCTCCCCTCCTCCCCACCTCCCCTCCCAACCAACTAATCAGCCAACCAGTTATCCCTTCAACCATTTTTTCTAGGATCAAAGCATTGTTTAGTATAGTCCTTTCTCAATTCTCACAGAACAAAGCGACATTTCTTTTCCTATAACCACCATCACTCAACAAAAAACGCAAACCAACTAAATCTGCCAAACCATTCCTGTACCCACCCCTGGGCTTCTTCGCAGAAACCACCACATTTTTGGCTAATAAGGACTTCAATGACGGGTTCATTAAGGTTTTCCCTCCAACAAAAGCATACTGTCCCTAAGGAGCAAGCACTTGAACCTTATTATAAAATTTACTCCCGGGACAAAGTGGGGAAGGTGAAGCTCCAGGGCGTGGCCTGAACGCCTCTGGGGGCGTGGGCAGCCCAGAGCCCCAGCCTCTTCCACTCGGAAATGCAGGGAGCTTAAGCGAACGCCGGGCGCGCCTTAATTTCAGCCCCCAAACGGATAGGAATGATCCTATTAAAGCGAACCAGCCTAAATTGCCTAAAAGGAGGGGAATAATAGGGGCCCGGGCAAGGGTAAGACCTGGGTGTCTAACAATCCTCCTCTCGGCCCTGGGCCCCTCCTGGCCCCGCCGCCGCCGCCGCCGCCGCCGCCGCCGCCGCCGAATGCCACATCAGCGACGGCGCGGCACTTCCATCTTCCTTTCGAGGATGCAGCGAGCTGGCCGGGCGGGTGGGGGCGGGCCCGAAGTCCGCGGGAGTGGCGGGCCGCCTGGCCAATCGGTGGCAAGCGAGAAGCCACGGCCACCAATGAGCTGGGGCTTCTGCCAGCCGCGGCAGGCAAGGCTCGTGCCTCGCTGGGGGAACCAGATGAAGCACATCTGGACAGCTGTGCTAAGAAACTGTGCGGCCCCTTCGCGAGCCCGACGTCCGCTGGGCACGTCCCCCACGTCCTCTCCTGCTAGCCATTTATTTATTCACTTTGCCAAAGAGGCAACCAGGGACCCAAGTTTAAAACTTTTTTCCCCCCCCTAATGAGAGACGGGGCCAGATCCCATGCAACACACAGTTTAATTTTCATGGGGCTCTGGGATCAAAAGAACACAAAGAGCAACAACAAAAGCTCAGCCGCTGTTTGATTTTAAACTGGCAAAGTGGGGAAAATAAAGTGTTGAGTAAACAGATCAAGTTGGGTAAGTTTTGGATACGTACTGGATATCTCTCTTACTGTGATCTCTATCCTGTGTCTTTTTGCTGTTCTCATCAGCCTTCTCTTTATCAAGGGGAGAAAAATATCACTTGCTGCCACAAACTGGACCCTCGGCTTCCTTCTCTTGTGCTTTGCTGACATCTTAATTTCATTTAATTTTTTTGGTTTGCTATTAAAATTTTTTTTGACATGCTATTTTAAAATTTCCTGGGAACAGAAATTTACTTGATATCCTGTTGTAAGCCTCTCCCAACTCCAAAGTTGACTTTACCGATAAATTTATTTTTCTGTTTTCTTTTTGTGAGAACACTGTGTACATTTGTAAAGCCAAAATCTTTACCCATCCTCCATTCCCTGACTATTTTGATGGAAGATTGGAAGATTGAGGAAATTATCTGACTTATTCAGAATTAACACAACTTTTGCTTCTGTTACTAGTATATTTAAATATGAATTGTTTAAAACCTGAATGATACAGGTAATTGCTGCAATTTTCACTTAAACTTGGATGTAATTGTAATCCAAATATATGTCCTTTCTATATTCTCTTATCCATAGTGGGAGACCCAAATTCCTTTTTGATTGTTTTAAAAAAACCACATTAAACATATGACAGACAACATTGTGTATCTATAACCTTACAATTGTATTTTAAGTCCATAATTTTTTTTACACTCTCCTGTCTCTCCTCCCTAAATCCATAATTCTATCAAAATAATAGAGTAATTGTTATATGTGCATGCTTGCAGATAGTTCTGGTATATATTTCAGGACTTAGAAATAGAATGATGAAAAATATTGAGCTAAGTGAGTGGCTCTGGGGCCCATTTCATCTGAAACATCTATAATTCCCTCTGTTTAAGCAATGTTTTGGATTTGAGACTTTCGTCATAGGGTATTTACTGTCATGGGAAATCTGGCCAGAATTCATCTCTAATTTCTGGTTCAGAAAGCAGAGGTGGGAATTTGGTGCAATAATTTCAAGTTGCAGAGTGTGTTTTTGATTCAGAGAGGTCATGCACACAAGTGGGTGGAATAGCTGAAGTGGTTTTCAGGGATGTGGGTTAGAAGGAACAGTGTTGCAGAGTAGGAATAGAAAGAGCCAGCTGGAGTGGTTCAGTTCACAACCGCACGGTGTGACCTTGGGCAAGTTACTCAACCTATCCTCAGTTTCCTCCTCTGTAACGTGGAGAGTTTCCTCCTCTGTAATGTGCTGATAATAATAGCACCTACTGTAGGGCTGTCTTGAGGACTAAGTGAGTTAATATATGTGAAACATTTGGAATAGTTCTGGCACACACAGTAAGTCTTTGCTGTCATACTCACTCTTCATTGCCCTCCTTCTCAGCTTACCCTGTAGAACCTCCATTTCCCCAGCTTCCATTCTGGCCTCTCTTTTAGCAACTGGTATTTACTGAGTGCCGACCACTTGCTAGCCAGGTGCTGTGTGAGGATGTAAAGGAAGAGAGAGTTTTGAATGGGGAGTGTGATAGAATTGATCAAATGTCTTAGAAAGATCTGGAAGGAGATGGAAAAAGACCATCTGATTAGAGCATGGCTTCATGGAAGAGTTGGCATTTCTGGGAAAGGATTTTACCAAACAGTTGTGGTTTGGGGGTGGGAGGGAGGGTTGGGATTGCAGAACAGCAGCGGCATTTTAGGAGGAAGGGGAAGCAGAGGCAAAGGCACTGTGGCTGGAAATGTGGCACTATCCTGGGGACTCTGGGACATTGGGATAATCCGTGGGGGGTTAGTGGGAGGGAAGGCTGGAAAGGTGGAGAAGTAGGAGGGGATTGCATGAGTCACCTGATGAGGAAGGAGAGGCTTGGGAGGTGGATTGGTGGGGGAATGGTGAGCTGAACTGGCAGCAGTTACACAGTGGAGGTGTTTCTGGAATGATCTGTGTCTGGAGTCCAGTCTCTCCTCTTGCCGTCATACCCTCTTCATCTGCTCCATTGCTTCTGTAACCTCCATTCAGGGCCTGCAGGTTGGGCAGACAGGGCTGGGCAGTGAGTCTGCGCCCTGTGTTTTGGACTCAGTTCTCTGGTGGTTGTCTTGGACCTCTGCTTAAGTGGTCTGTGCTCTGGGCCGTTACCCAGACTACTTTTGGTTATCAGGCCACGCCCTAAAGTCTTTGACATGGATGTGATTGTTACAACCCTCCTCAAACCCCACCCCACACACTGTGTGCAGAGTAGCTCTTTCTCATCCTGCTGTTAGAATCAGCTATTCCCATTTTAATACATACAACTTCATAATTTACAATTGTTGAAATAGTTAAGACTGGTAATATGCACCTAAGTGGAGGGTCAGTTTGGAGTTCTCTTGCTTTCTCTTCCTTGAGGGTATTATTCTGTGGCAGGGAGCTATGCCCCGGCACTGCTGTTGACCACCTGTGTGACCTCAGGCAAGACTTTGAGCCCATATGGCCCTCTGTGCCATCATCTGTGAAATGATTCCTAACGTCCTTTTCCCTTGGATGATCACTTATTTTCTCCACTCATCCCTGGAACAGTCTGTTACTCACAGAAGGCTGTTTCCTACCTCTTTGACTAATATTTTCTGAACATGTAATACATGGCAGACATTGTTCTGAGTGCTTTACATGTTTTAGTGCATGTCATCCTCAACAGCAACCATATGAGAGTTGGTTCCTATTTGTGTCCTGTTTTTATATTAATAGTTGAGGAGACAGAGGCACAGGCAGGTTACGAAACTTGCCCAAGATTCCACAGTAAACAAATGGCAGGTGCAGACCCAGACAGTTTAATTCCAGAGCCCAAACCTTAACCACTGCTTTAGGGGTAATAAACCTAAGACTGCTCTTCTTGTTTGTGGTGGTGGTAGTCAGCATAGCTCACAGCAACCTCAAACTCCTGGGTTCAAACAATTCTCCTGCCTCAGCCTCCTGAGTAGCTGGGACTACAGGTGCCCACCACCATGCCTGGCTAATTTTTTCTGTTTTTAGCAGAGACGGGTCTTGCTCTTGCTCAGGCTGGTCTTGAACTCCTGACCTCAAGCGTTCCTCCCCACTCGGCCTCCCAGACTGCTAGGATTACAGGCCTGAGCCACTGTGCCCAGCCTAGAATATCAACATAAATCTTGTCTATAGCGTGTGGTCCATGTAGACACAGGAGACATTTTACTTATTTGATGGATCTCATTCCAGGCAAGCACTCTGTCTTTTCAATTTGTTTGAACAAAACCCACCTGGTCTTCTAGTAGACACTCAATAAATGTCAGTTGATGACTGTCCCTTGGAAAAAGGAACTTGTGACCACAGTATTTTTATTTTTTAAAAATAAACTATGAAATGTCCCAAGACTTGTGGAAAAATGGGGCAGATGCCAGGTAAACAATCTACTCCTGCTTCTGGGGCATTCTGGTTTCTCATCTTATTTCTGGAGATGCTGTGGTTTGGGGATAAGGACTTCTCATGGTGAAGGTTGATGTAGGGCTATTTTAGGTGTACAGTTAATAATTATACCCAGTCTGGATTTGACATTTTTTAAGAAATTCATTCCTTAAATTTTTTAAATATTGAATCAACTTTAAAATATTATTTGAGGCTGGGCACAGTGGCTCATGCCTGTAATACTAGTACTTTGGGAGGCCAAGGCAGGAGGTTCACTTGAGACCAGGAGTTGGAAACCAGCCTGAACAACATAGCCCTAGACCCTGCCTCTACAAAAAATATAAAAATTAGCTAGGTGTAGTGTTGCATGCCTGTAGTTCTAGCCTTTTGGGAGGCTGAGGCAGGAGGATGGCTTGAGCCCAAGAGTTTGAGGCTGCAGTGAGCTATGATGACACCACCGAAGTCTATCCTGAGCAATCGATCCTGTCTCAAAAAAATATAATATTTGAAAAATATTTTAATTTGCTCTTTATCTCATTACCTTAATGTAGTCACTCTTTTCCGTGTAGCATAGTGACTAAGCACACAGACATTGGAGTCAGACCGTGAGAGTTTGAATCCCAGATCTGACTCTTACTAGTGTGACCTTGAGCAAGTTACTCTTTGTAGGAGACTTTATTATCTATAAAGGGGATACTAATAGACATTACATGAGAAAAATCCATGTAAAGCGTTTAGCATATTGTTTGGCTCATAGTAAAGCCTATTCATTTTTTTATTGTGGTAAAATCGATATAAAATTTACCATTTTAACAATGTTTGAGTATACATTCAATGGCATTAAGTACATTGACATTGTTGTGCGAACATCACCACCATCCCTCTCCAGAACATTTTCATCTTTCCAAGGTGAAACTCCTTACCCATTAAACAATAACTCCCCATATACTACCCTCTCTGCCTCTGGCAACCATCAGTCTACTTTCCGCCTTTATAAATTTGATTATTCTAGTACCTTGCATAAGTGGAATTATGTGTTTGTTCTTTTATGTTTGGCTTATTTCATTTAGCAAAATATCTTCAAGATTCATCCATGTTGTAGCATGTGCCAGAATTTCCTCCCTTTTTAAGGATGAATAATAATCCATTGTATGTATGTACCACCTTTTGTTTATCCATTCATTTGTTGATAGAGCGATTTAGGTTGTTTTTATCTGTGATGGTTAATTTTATGTGTCAATTTGGCTAGGCCACACATAGTTCCCAGATATTTGGCCAAACATTATTCTACATGTTTCTGTGGAAGTATTTTTTAGACGAGGTTAACATTTACATCAGTAGGCTTTCATGTGCCTTTCATAATGTGAATGGGCCTCCTCCAATTGGTTGAAGGCCCTAATAGGAAAAGACTGACTTACTTCCACTGAAGAAGAAAGAATTCTGCTTCCACACTGCCTTTGGACTCGAGACTACAACATCAAGTCTTCCCTGGGGCTCCAGCCTGCCAACCTATGCTGTAGATTTAATCTCTCTCTCTTTCTCTCTCTCTCTATGCATATCCTATTGGTCCTGTTTCTCTGGGGAACCCTGATCACTGATGAATATACCATCTTTTAGCTATTGCAAAT